CATATAGTATCTACAATAGTACCGACACATCAACCACATCAACCGAAAAATAAGAGGTTATACATTAGGAAAGAAAGAAAAAGAAATCACATTTATTTGACTATCATAATTTAAATCTTCTCAACTATTGTGGCCTCAACTACGCCGACCGCATCACTAGTAGCCGCCATTATGACATCACACAAGGAAAAATAAAACGGAAAAAAGAAAAAAAAAATTAAAACATTCACACTTAAGACAAAATAAATAATTACAAAACAAAATCACAAACAAAACAAAAACTAAATTGAACCATAGTTTATTACTTAAACATAAACAAAAACATTAATAACTGTAACTTTTTCATTGAAAAAAAAAAACCGACCTCAAAAATTTGCTTAACGGCTTTTTTCGATTTCCATGGGATTCCTTTCTTTCTGACTTGATTCTGACTTCTTGGTGACAATGGGACTTTTACAGACTCCTTTGTACATTTTATATTTTTTTTTTCTGGTGACGGTCATTTGTAGATTACAAGTATTGTGTCAAGTAAAAAGTCGACTTTTATTTGCGGAAAATAATTAGTAATTTGTGATAGTTGAAACGGACCCGGCACAGTATCAGGGACCACCTCGAGAGTATGAAAGGGTTTTCAAACAAAAGAATAATTTTCTAAATCGGTCTACAATTGATGAAGAAATTATTGAATACACGGACATGCCTGTAAAATTTGAGGATTTCCTTCGATTTTCATGGGATCCCCTCATCACTTTCTGACTTGGTGACAATGAGACCACCACAAGAGTGCATCCTTTCAAACGAAAAAGAATTTTTAAAATTGGTCCACAATTGACGGAGATATCTGAAAACATACTTAGAACATACATAAATAGTCGAACGTATAAGCTCCTCCTTTTTTTTAAGTAGGTTAAAAATAAAGATGTTTCGTTCTGTCATAGATCAGTTGTATCCACAACTTGGGACTATAATATGGCTATTACGATTGATATCTCAGTAACAATGTGTTTTTGTTCACAGCCTGCTTCAACTACAACAACAACGAAAAGGGCCCGAATAAAGCTGCCGGTGACCCGAAGTCAAAGGAATTGAACATGGATAGCGCATGTACGTATGCTAGCAGTTTCTATGTAGGCACATAAACTGCAATAATAATTGGCATGTATTTAAATTATTTTTTTTAATTTGTAAAAGCAGTAGGCAAAATATCTAAATGGTCAAATTTAATGTAATCTAAACGGGCAAACGGTTAATTCTTCTTCACTGAGACATAAAATAAATTAAATCGATCGACATTTTAATTTGTTCTGAGCTACGCAAAAATTGTTTGATTTGTATAAATTAACTTTCATAGTTTTAGGTTGGGCCTCAAAACTAAGACAAATGAGCATTAAAAATACAATTTACATATTTATTTTTAAAACTAAGTAAATGTTGATTATATTTGTATATAAATATTATATTATTATAATATAATTTGATCTGAAAACGTGTCCGGAAACGCACGCAAATTGGCATTTGGGTTCTTTTTCATAGACTTACTAACCTAATCTAACCTACTGAATGGAGGGTACAACCAACTAACCAAGATTTAGTAGGAGATCAATGACAAAAGATATACTGGTTATAAATGTCATTAATCGTTAAAAGAAAAGACCACGTGGTCTGTGGAAAAGACCAATGATAAAAAAGAAGATCAAATATTATTTTTGAATATAAATATTAATTTATTAAGTATGCATTAAACATAATAATAGTTACTTTGAATGCTGTTAATTTGTAATTTGTCTGTAGATCAACTCATATAGATGGAACAATTCATATGTATATAAAACATAAAAAAATATCGTTTATTTAAAAAAGTGCACATTTGCAATAGATCAATTATTTGTTGAAATATATCATCGACGTAAAATTTGTCCACGGTTTGACAAATTCAATTTTTCGACAAGGACTGGAGGGAATGACGTTTAGTTTACATGTTTCAAAATTGCATAACACTTTTTGATCAATCAAACATTATAACTATTAATGCAAATATCGAACACAAAGAAAAATTCCCTCGATTTGACAGGACCCGAACTTGTGGCTTTATGTCAATCTAGAGCAATCGCTCTACCAACTGAGCTACACAGATCGAGTTGGCAGACTTTACGAACTCTCAATAAAATTAGTATTTACAATTTCGTAAACCGATATCTCTTGTCAACCTCTGGTATCTGTAAAGGTACCTGGGTGAATGAAGAAAAAAATAGTGGATTTCTCACAGGTGGAGCTACGGTAAAAGAGCCGTAAAAATCAAATATAAAAATTTGTTTACAAATACACAGAGAAGTTCGTAAGGTCTGTTGACTCGATCTAGCTACACCTATAGCTCAGTTTATAGTGCGACTGCCCTTGATTGGTATACATACATAATTATAACAAATTACTGGAGTAATTTAACAAAAAATAAATATGTAGCATACATAAATAATAAATAAATATTTGACAACATTACATACGTTGCTCTGATCTCAAAGTAATTAAAGTACCTGTGTTATGGAAATCGGCAACAACGATGGCACCACAAACATCCAGACCCGAGATAATTTAGAAAAGTATGTGTTTCTGTATTGACGTTGCTCGAATATGTGTTAGGGATTATACTTATGCCTACAAACCTATCGGACACTCTTAGTTATACCAAACACGTTAAGTATTACTTACTAATCTTTTGTTGTATTTGTTAGTTGTCATACACTTATTTTGTCAACGGGAAAATCATAAGGCACTTGATAATAATATTGCCTTGATTGTTGCCCTTAAATAGTGCAATGTTGCCCTACTATATAGCATAATAAAACTTTATAAATGATTACGTGTTGTTTATTTTAGTAAAATTTAAATAATTACAACAGGAAATTAAAATTTTACTTTTAAATATTTATCTTTATTCGACCCGTATGTATATTCAACGGTAGTTATTATTAAATATTGTTGTAAAAGTTGCTAATTAACAGTTATACGGGCTTCCGCCATTAATTGAAACGAAACAATGTAGTAACCAAAACGTTAAAATTGTATATAACGCCGGAATGTAATTAATTAATGATGGGTAATTAATAGATCCAGACGTTATTTTGTGGAAATTCATGTTAAAAAAGTAGAAGTGAATCGCGTAAAATAGCTGCGCTTTTGATGTTTTTTTTCATGCAGTGAATTTTCACACCCTCCCGCCGCACATACACAATCGCAACTACAGTCACAAACACCAAAAATATATCCGACACGTTTTGCCTCTCTACGAGGTATCCTCGAAGTTGTTGTTTGTTCGACTCTCGGCCAAAGAAATGATTTTTCAAGACAAGCGCAACACACTTAATGATAATTAATTACTTAGTGAGTTCTTTTTTTATTTCTATTCTCATTTATTCTTTTTCTTTTTTTTTAAATTGTGTAGTGTCGTTGGTAGAATACAATTAAATGTCTTCCTTTCTACAATTATAACTTGAATCAATCTATCTAGTGTCTACACATATAAAATTTATGATTTTTATTAATAATAGTTTGGTAATAAGTTTATCTTCTTGCTGAATTTTTAAACAGAAACACATCATAAGCCCCTATTTGCTTGATATGAATAGTACCAAATTTTGTTAGAATCAGGTCGCGTTATTTTTATTCCGAATATTTTTTATTTATTATATTCAGCAAATATATATATATATATATATATATATATATATATATATATATAGATAACATAGACCATAATAATACTTATTATACATATATTTTTATAATACTTGTCATTATATTTCATCGTCATCAGTTTTCTAAAATTCGGGGATTTTTGTATAATAGTAGTTTTTGTAGTCAAAATTGTATCAAAAAAATAAAACAAAATGATTTCTTAGGTTTTCGCAATTGTTTCACGTAGAAAATGAAAATAATTTTTCAGATCTACATCGAACTATTTGTTTTTTTTCAAATAAACCTCATGGTCATGACACGGAGTCACCTGTGACCATGGGACCTGTGAAGGTCCGAAACGTCGGTTTGTTTGAAAAAACAAATATACACGATTTAGATCCGGAAAAATACTTTCATTTTCTATAAAATAAAATCATTTATTCTGTAAATATTCATAAAATTGTACCCAATAACCTCAGATTACAAAACAATAAGATACGTAATCTGAGCCAATAATGAGAAATTTCAGAACTTACAGTTAGATTCTCGAGAACAGAAATCAAGTAATACAGTCAAGAGCACACCAAGTTTGACATTTTGTAATTAAAATCGTTTCAATTAAGTGTAAAACATACTTCACCGACGAGCTTTCACCTGTTATGTAACGTTCAAGATTAGTTTTTGAGCAAAATGACTGTCTGTATGTCGAAAATATATTATATTATTTGGGTCCTATGGCACTTCTTTTGCCACAGCTAGTGCCATTACTTATTTATATAAAAAATATTTTTGGTATTTACTTTTCTTATTGAAGAAATTAAGAGGAATGTCATCACGCAGCAGTACGAACGCACACACTACACGGAAAAATTAGTTAAGTTTATGTTATATTGGAATGTTTTGTTTTTTAGTACTTTAAATGTAATAAATAAAAAAATATTATTAAAAATGTATAATGCCTATTCACCGAACGACGCCTAGAAAAAGCCCTAGTCACACCGTTCAGGGAACAACTCTGCAGGCAGGGAATTCCACTCCGTAGACATTCGCCATATTATTATGAATATGGAAGCAAAACGCTTCGTGCGCTTCCTTGGAATATCCACAACATAGGTGTGGAACTCCACCCTATGACTTGTCCTCCGATGATGGCAGGGGAAGGCGGAGTTAAATCGTGCGGTTCCTTGGCACACTCCCCGTGATTGTATCCTGTAGAGTAGTTCGGATACAGAGGCCTTAAAACACATAAATTTTAAAAAAAGGACAATAGTAGTACGTTGTAATTATTATCTGGTAAGTTTTTTAATCGATATTTTGTACCTATGCTACAAAATTGCATCGCTTTCAGTTGGTAGGCACATGAATTATTCTTTACTTTGCTTGCACGGGGTGTACTAAATATTGTTGCATGTCTGAGTCTGTGAGTGATCTACATTTTTGACCCTCTAGGGACCGACACTAAACATAACTCTAATTTAAAAAACAAATTATATAACCTTGACACAATAGTCACACCTTGACATATAGTAATAACACGCAGCGAACTGTATTTAAGGTTTAACTAATTGTGGTTATAAAATAGAGTTTATGGTGATTTTATTCTAGTTAATAAATGAAAAAACTGTAATATACAGTTTATTGAATATCACAATGTTTTACTATCACGTATTATATTATATTAGAGTATTATAGTGCGCATTACGTTCATTCGTATCAGTTCCGAATCCGAGAAATGGCGGTCCGAAATATCACAGGTGATTTTATCTCTAGGTGGATAAGCGATATTCGTATTTTCACGCTTGACATCCGAAGTGGGTCCGAGTTTTCTAGATTTGTACAGTCATACGAATCGGATGCAGTGCACAAATGCGTTAAGAAAAATTCCTTCGATCCGACTGGATTCGAACCAGCAGCGGCAGCGCCGTGTCTGACGCTCTCCCAACTAAGCTACGGAACAAAAAAAATCGGAAAAAATTTGTAACATCAGCGTGTTCGTTCCGCAGCTCAGTTGGGAGACCGTAAGCCACGGTATGCTGAAGGCACTGGTTCGAATCCCAGTCGGATCGAAGGAATTTTTCTTAGTGTTTGATCTATGTATTAATCATTATAAAGAAACTGTATTGTTGCAATATTTTTTTTCTAAGAAGGTCATAAAAACTTATTTGTTATCGTTTATGGTTCCCGAATTCGGGGAAGTTCAAGTTTTGATTTTTACCCGAGTTAAATAAGGGCAAAAAAAATATTTACAGGCGGATTTAAAGTATGTAACCTTGTAGCTTGAAAACTCTAACTAAACTAAATACAAGAAGTGTTTATATATTTTTATTTAACTTTGCCATATCACGGGTTCCTTGAAGGGCTCAAGCGCAGAACGTCCACTTCGAAAAATTTCCCTTTCGCTAAAAAAAATAATAATACACAAACACTGGCAA